CACATACTAATTCATTTAAGAACTGAGAGGTATTTGAAGCCTTGTAAAGGAAATGATGGGAGCACAAGTGTTAGACTTTTGTATGTTCAGTCAAAAATTCCTAGAGCTTTGTAAAATGAAGGAGCAAGGAAGGCCAAAGTCTTTAACCATCTGAAACAATCTAATCATCCTCTGGAAATGCACTGTTTGACGTGACTATGTTAACTGAAAATGGAGAGATTAAATAAAGTCAGGCTGATAAATCCCCTGAGTACAATTAACTTATTTGTAATATCATTGGAGATGAGTTGTATGACTGGTGTCTCAAGTTGGAAAGCTATGACTTTCAGAGGGAAGGTAATTGAAGCCTGACACTCCAAAGCCCTCAGTACATGTTCAGATATTATCAATGCAAATCTTACAGACAACAATTTGCATCAAGATAAAAAGTAATTCCTCCTTTGGCTGCCTTGGGATCAATCCATGAGAGAGCACAGGAAGAAATAATAATTGATTTGTGATGATGTATCAACCATGTCTTTAAGAGAAACAGAAACTGCTCTCCCACACTCGACTTTTACACCAGAGTGAAGACCAGTGAACACCACAGAGTTCTTGCTTCAGAAAATCAAGTGGGATTTTCAATAAAAAAAACCTCTGATTGAAAGCAGTCCATTTTCAGTGACCCCTATGAAGCACAGACTGCCAGTTTAAGCATCACAATTTACTCCACCTCTGCGAGAACTCAAAGAGAGGATTGTTTCTGATGACACCAAATACCTAAGTGATTTAGTATTTATACTTAAAGTTGTGTATGCATTGTCCCTAGAAGCTGACTGGAAGACAGTGCAGACTAGAAGTAACGACAGCATGAACTTGACCAATTCCATATAATTCCTTTCACATCATTTAAGATGCCTTAAGACAGAGACACTGGTAAAAAGCACAGAAATCATTCTAGTTTGAGGTGACAAAGTCTAGAATGATTTTTGTGCTTTTTACCTGTGTCTCTGTCTTAAGGTATTTTAACTGATGTGAAAGGAATTAAATGGAATTGGTGACTTCTGATGCAGGTTTTTTGTTATATGCTTTGTTTCTTCTCTGACTCTCAGAACAGCTGACCAAAATTAAGCATCTAAATAGAGAAGAGACGCAGCTTTTCAAGGAACTGTTATCACCTCCACGTTTTGGGGGATTATTTGTTACAAATATCATCAATTACAGATTCAGCTGCAAGCATTTTCCCTTTTTAAATTCATCTTACTCTTTGAGCTATTCTGCAATTGTTGCTAATTTAAACAGGCAAAGAGCTAGCTGAAGGACAACCATTCAGTTCACAACCATTTCTGCAGCTACCCTTCCCCAAACACTGGAGAACACAAACCTTTGAAAGAGGTGCTCATGGAGTTTGTGAAAACATGACTCAAACCCAGGAGATTCTCTAGGATACAACACCCTAAACCACTCCAAATTACTGCATATATTCCTGGTAGGCTTCACAATGGAAATAAAAACAATTCAAAGTCAAGCAAGAGGCAAAAATTGTTGCTTGAGAATGGCTGCTTAATTTTAATTTATCAAATTGGTTAGTCAATGCAGTTCCTGCAATAGACCTATTTTCCATCCTAAAAAGCCTTAAAAAACTGGATTTTTATGTGTCTGATTGTCAAATTATATTTTATATTAACAGAGCTAAAAATGCGACAATGGTGATATATCTAATACTCTCTGCATTGGGAGAAAGTATTATCCTACTCTTCAAAAAAACCTCTCTGTCCAACTTTTCTGATAGGCATCCCCATAGATTTTTCTTGGTTCCTCTGGTTATTACTCTGGAGAACAAGGACCAGCTTCTATACTGCCTGCAAAGGTTCCTAGAGCCTCATTGACCAACCCTGATATCAGTGACTAACTTAATAAAGATCTTGAGAATTAGACCACTGCCAGTTCTTTTTCTAGAGTTATTATTAGTGATTATTGTTAGTTTTTATATATTGAATTGTTGGTGTATAATCTTAATATTTTATGTGTATTTGAAATGATCACAATTCAAAATATTGTTTATTGCTCTGTATTTCAAGTATACCATTAAATCATTGATTCATTGTGCTCCTGCACAGGAAGTTTAGAAGATAGCATTCTCCAAATAATTTGTTTTCTGCACTGCTTATCTCCAAGATAGATAATTTGGATATAAATCTGTTTTCTGAATGTGATACACAAGGCAGCCTACAGTCATCATGACTACTCATCAGTCTCTTCAAAGTAACTTTACCGGGAGACAGTTCAGAATCTTCATTTTATTTGCTCCCCAAATTTCTCTTTGGAAAATAGCAAATAAAGGCTCCTATTATAGAGGTGTTGCACAGACAGCTTGTTCCCAAAGGTCTTGATTCTGCAAAGCACGAGGAGTTTTGCTGTTGCAGAGCCACTGCAACGCTTGAGCACTGATTTAACTTTATGCAAGCAAGGCTGCTGATTTCAATGGGACCATTGGCATAGCCATGCCTTGAGCCAGTGTACAGCCAAGAGTTCTGTTTCAGGAAAGTGCCAGTGCACGTGCTTGGTGTTACTTGTAATCAAGAAAGCCCCCTTAGCCTGAGGTTAAGCAAAAGACTTTCACAGCATTGAATATCCATGAGAGAATGCAGGTGTTTTGCTACCAAGATGCCATAAAAATATAATACAGAGACAAAAGGCATCATATGGAGTTACCAACTCAGCAACCTATCCTAATTTTCATACATTCCAAATGTGAGTGAGATACATTAATGCATGGTTGCAATGTAGCGTAGTTCAAGGTAGATTTGAATTACCTGAGGCTCTTATCTCCTTGCTTACATTCACAAACCAAGACGATGCTGCTGCTTCTGTTCCTTGGAACCTCACAGCTCTTCCATCCCACTGAGCTTCTTTGCAAACCAGGGATCTTGTGACCTAGTTGCAAAACACCCAGCAGCTGATCTCAGTTTGGGAACAAGATAAACTATGGATGCATAACAAAAACTTCTGGAGCAACATGAGGATTTTGTCAGAGCTGCTTTAAGGGATGGCTCTTACAGGAAGCTTGGAAGCACCTCAAGAGATCATTTGATTGTCCTAAGGCAAGATTAGCTTTAATCACATCACTCTTGAGTAGTGCATGTTCAACCTGTTCTAAAAGACCTTGAATGATAGGTATTGCTTCTTATACTCTCTAGGTAATCCTGTACTGTGTGTCACTATCTTTCCTCTTTGAATACCTTAGATAGAGTCTCAGGTAACACTCTCTTGCTTTAATATATGCCATTATAATTGAAATAAAATCCTTTTAAATAAATACCCTGCAGCATTTATGGAGAGGAATTTACTCCTCACTTCTTTACATTCTCCACTTCTCCTGACTTAACAGAGCTAATTCCACTCTCTTCTTATACTGTGTTTCCTAGGTCTGTATTTACTATCTTGGGGACCCTGAGAACCCCGTATTTCAGCCATTTATTTGAGTTTTGCTGGCAAACCTAGGAGTTTTTATGGATATGATTGCAAAGCATTTTGAAAAATAAATAATTTGTGTAACTCCGTGCAAACTACAGTTATATTTAACTAGAGGACAACTATTACTCCATATGAATCCAAGACTTAGACCACCTTTTGTAGATGAGCAGCCCTAGCAAATTTTGCGTATACTATCAGAAACATCTGTGACTGGTTCCACTGCACTCAGCAACTTGGTTAGAGGAAAAAAAACCAGAAGCAGAAAGATTTGGCTAAATAAGAATGATATATCAAAACACCCAATATTTTAATGAAAGAAACTGAATATCCACACATTTGCACTTCTGTACAGTTTTTGTGATATATATATAATTTTAAGCTGTTTACAAATAACATTTAATGCTTCAAATATTACATAATGTTGATATTATATTTCTAGCAGAAATAAATATATTGCACTTAAAAAGAAACTTTTCATTAGATGTTGCTTCATAGTTTATGTTCACAACTTTTTTTTCCATAAAAAGATTTCCCTCTACCCCCACCCCATACACACAAACACACACTTCGGTACATGGTGAATGTGCTCACGCAATGCAATATAAACAACAAAGTCAACACAGCAAACAGAAGAACTGTGGTACATTCTGTTAAAGAGGCTACATCCAGTTTTTTTACCTTCCTTGTTTTTAAACCAAATCTTTCCTCATGTTTCTGAAGGTACAATTAAAAAGAAAAAGATTGTTTAAATGTGCTAAAGGTAAAATACAGCAAACTGTATTTTTTGTCCTTAAACTATCATAAAAAGTTACTTCAGAGCTTATTTAATTCACTGCTTAGTTTTCTCATAAAAAGATAAAATAAAGAAAAAGAAGTTGTCATCTGATAATCTAGAGATTATATGCAAGGACATTTGATTACAGAGTAATACATAAATCCTCTGGCTGGTAAGTAGGTGGTTAGTGAAGAAACCACATCTCCTGCAGCAGAAATGCTCTGTAAAGGATAGTGAGAATAAAATCTCACTAAAATCAAAATTAATTTTGCAGTGAGCGTCATCCCCCTGCAGATGATGAGTATATGCACTGTGGCCACAAGTTCCTCAGGACAAGATCTCACTATTGCTTTTACCCTTATCTTGGAGTAAATTACCACAATTTATATTGACTTACACTTTGGAAATTATCCCAAGTTTTTGCAACAATTTTCATTGATACATCTGTTTCTGTATAGTACACACATATAAAGAGAATGTACTACATAATGAAGTTGCCAGCCCAAATGCTTTTCAGTTAAAAAAGGGTCCTTTTCAAGTGCCAGTTAGTGTTTGCTGGATGTTGGAAATGGCAACATCTTCTTACATGTGTACATGTTGATGCAGTGTCCCGGCCTCCATGGGTAAAACTGTCTGGGAGAAATTCTGCAATTGCGTTCTGAAGGCTGTGGTACCAAGCATGTTAGCTACCATACAACCTACCATCCTTGGACTCATGAAGCATTTCCATTAGGAACTCTACTTTTATCTACTTGGTCTATGCTTGTTGTTCTGTTTGCACCCAGAAGAGTACGACTGAAACCCAGTGGCATTGATTTTCTATCTTTGACAGTGCCTCAGGCCATACAAAGCAATGCTGCAAACCAAAGAGAAATTAAAAATGGGAGGGTTTCTGTTTAGATTCTCAGGGCTCCAAAAGTAGAAGAAAAAATATTCAGACAAATATATCCAAATCAGTTTTGTTAATATATGGGATGCTTTTGTTGAATTAAAGACTGGAGGGTGTTGATAATCTATGGATAAAATGGTAATACAGGAAAAACACAAAAATACTTGGAACACTTCCAAGTAAAATCTTATCACTCCCTTTGAAAAACATATTCAGGCATGTTCTCTCCACTCTTCTTAAAAAAAAGGCCAACAGCTCTCCCCCCCCCCCCCCCCCAAAAAAAAAACCCAAACAAAATCAAACAACATAAACCAGCTCCATTTTTCTGAGCCAAGAAAAAAGCTCATAAAGGTGAAGAGCACTTCTCATGGGACACAAAACGTGAATTGTATTTGGAAAATAAATTCTAGATTGTATTTGGCATTCCTAGCCCATCTACCAACAACAGATGTTATGTCCTGAAAGTGATGCAATTTTGACAGCAGTACAGCAAGTCCCTAAATAAATTACTGGGCTATTGTCAAACTGGTGGAGTGGTGGAGACAATTTTTATTTTTTTTTTTTATCAAAAGTGATTTCACTCTTTAACCAATTAATTACAAATTCACATTCATTTTCTTTCAGTTGTGAGTTCAGTGCTAAAACTGATTTGTAGGTGAGTTTTAATCTTTCCTGTACTGTTCCTATATTGTTGCTGCCATTTAAGTCACTCTTCCTACTGCCAGGCTTTATTTTTAGATGACAATGTGGAATGAAATCCTGCCCCCGTTACAGTCAATAAATTTCCATTTGACTTCAGCTGGGTAGAAATTTTATTCCTGGAATCACTCCCATGCTTCCCCAGGCCTACAGGAAGGTGAGAGGGACATGGAGCAGAAACAGTGAGGTGGCAAGACCTCTTCACTGGACATCCTGTGGCCTGTGTGAACTTAATCCCTTTAACCTCAAATCTCTGCAACAGGTTTTGTAGGTAGGACTGTGAGGGCAAAGAAGAGGAAGTGAGGAATGGACGTACCTATTGATCTCATTCCTGAGGAAATCTGTCACAAGCTGCCTTCATTCCCTTGCTTGGGACCTGCCTGTGATTCTGCATTGGTGGGCAACCCAATGGGTTTCTGCTACAAAGGAATTAAACAATCAGAGAGAAGCACAAGGAGTGGTGCTTCTCTCCTTCTCTGAAAGAGTATAAGGGGCATTTCTGCATGTCAAATATTGGTGTTCTCAGAGCAGAGGCTGGGACAGAGCTGAAAAGATGATGCAGTTTGTTTCTCTGAATTTGGTTCATGAAGGAAGGTGATGTATGAGCAGCCTTTATGTCACATGTTGACCATGTCTAAATCAGCCCACCTGTTTCAAACTTGTTTCTGGAGTCATGTAAAAGTTGCCTACTTACTTGACCCTTTCCCGATGGAAGTATCAGCAGTAAAACTACTGGCTTGAGTTCTGAACCTAACCATATTCCCTGAACTCCATATAAGTAAATGAAGCTGCAGAAGGAACCAGATAAAATAAACAGAATTTCCCCACAGGCTTTAGTGCATGTCATCCTAGGGTCTTCGTACAACTCTAACAGAAGTCAAACAACTGAAGAGCAAACTTTCTACCAAACCTCTTCTGTAATTATTGTTTCTGTAGAGTCATGTTTACTTGAAGAATTACATTCTTGTAGGGTCAGTATCACTTAATTTCCTGAAAAATAGGGCGTTTATCTTGAAACCACTTATAAGTAGGCACAATCTTGCAACATGCACTTTTCCTGTGAATCTGATAGACTACAGCAAAATCTAATATTTGGGTACACCAAGACAAATTCAGTGTCTGATTCTGAGCCATTTAAACACTGCAGAGCTTGACCTGTCATATTAATTTATGGAACTCCTTGTAGCAGGTCTGAATTGTAAATAAATTTTCATTTTTATTTACATACAGAGCACAGGGGTTGCAAATTGGCCCAGGTCAGTTTTCATCAGCAGGTCCAACAGTGATTAATGGGGAATTAGGGTGATATTGCAGATAACTTGGTTGAAAAGGTGATTGAAATGGCCAGCTTGAGAAGATTTTGAATTCAGCTACTGGAAATTACATAATGGTGGTCTTTTTCTGTGGGATGCACATGCCTGCATACTTTGCAGAGATGGAAATAGGTGATTCAGTGTACTACGCTCTGCTTTTTACCAATGACAGACAATATGACACCAATAGAGAATGGTGAAAAGCAGAGGACAATAAGTCTGTTTTGTGTTCCAGCTCTACAGAGATCTGTAATATATGAGATTATTTATGCTAGTTCTCTTTTGTCAGCAGATGTATTATCATCTATAGCTTGGATGCAACTCAACACAGCAACTGTGTCAACTTATTACTTACAATGGAATCCCAGCTCTTGCCACACAGAAAACCAACATCACACTGGTACTCTTTCCAGTAGTGCAAAGGATTCATGCTAGCTCTCTGCAGACAAGGTCATTATCATCTTATGCCTCTATAGCTCCTCCATTGTATCAGACACAACATACTAGAAAAGGGGACAGTACTTTGAATGAGCCCCAAATACTAACTGAAAAAAAGTCAGACGTGAATTAAAAAAAAAAAAAAACAAACTTTCATGTGAAGTTCTGTACTGATATTTTTCCAAGGAAACTCAACCATTATAGTGGGATGTGAAAAAACTGGTTTTCCTGGCCAAGCTGATGCCTTTTATAATAACAGCCATAACCAAACCCAACAAAATCAGAACAAGTGGAAAGATACTCCAATGCCACTTATACCAGTCCATTAATTATAGTTTGATCCAGAGAGTCTATAGACTGATCTAGCCTGAAATTGGGTTAACTTGGTTCACATGTGCAGCTGGAAACAGGTCTTCAGTGGCACACACAGCAGCAAACAAGTACTGCTTTAAAATGGGAAATCTTTGTTTCTAAGTTTAAGTAATAGATTTTTCCAAATCAAAATTTTTCTTCATTATATCTTAACCGACAGATATAGGACAAACTTCCTTTTAGACTGAAGGACAGAATACATTATTACTACTACAGTCCTGTAACACAGTTCTTTTTTTGGAACCGATAAGTGTTTTGTGAAAGAAACAAACAAAGAAAGAAAGACTTGTTAATAACGTTCTCTTTGTGATTATAGTAGCAACTAAGAAATACTGGTTTTGGTGAATATATGCCAGTCTTAAAAAGGACAGTGGTCTTCTCCACTTTGTCCTATTTTCAGCAAATGTATGCTGAGATAGCCTAAAACATGCTCAAAGTTATAGCAATACATTTTTCTGTTTAGATGCTCATCAGTCACAAGAAGAGATGGAAGATGAGTAAGAGTATTGCCTTTTTTAGAATTCATCTAGCATATGAAAAAAGACCTATAGACAATTAGTTTGTATACTGCTGCTTAAAGATAATCTCTTTCCACTAGGTATAATGCACCTTTGGAACAAGCTGCACGTGACCAAAGATCCTGGGGACTTTGGGATCCATTTTGGCTGTGTTACACATAGATCTGTGAGCAGCTCCAAGCTGCATGCTCTCTTCTTGTGATCCCTCAAAAGAGGAATCTGTATCCACAATGCATTTTTTCAGCTGGTTTGTCATGAGTTCAGCACTCCTGCCACAGGCCTTTCGGGAAGGTCCCTTGTATTTTGTCATAGCAAACTTGCACATTTAAAATCGTGTGTTCCTCTTGTCGTACGTCACTCATACAAACGGTGTCATCACTGCGGAAGAGTGACGCAGTCCTTGGATAGCTGCATAAGGACCCTGCTGGAAGTAATGGTGGTACCTTGGCATGTGGAAGGAAGGGAAAGTGGGGCCGCTACCTTGCATGGAGCTGGCTATGGCAGAGGGTGTCAGAGGCATTCCCAGGCGGCTGTACGGAGGCAGAGATCCTTGGATTGGATGAGGAATGGGTGTAGCTATGGATGCAGTGCTGGTACCCAGGGCACTCAAAGACTGTGGATGCTGAAATCCTGGGAAACTGGTTGAAGAGGAAACCCAGGAACTGAGGGACAGGTTATCAGATGTTGTAAAGGCTGACCCTGCAAGCAAAGAGAAAGAATACCTAACGTTGGCACACGAAGCTGGTAAAGTAGCAAAAAGGGAGAAAATGAGTCCTTTACAGCAAGCCTGATTTCAATGACCAGTTGTCATTGGAAATACTTCCCAAATACTTCAGTCTTTAAAATGTTATTTAAAGCTGGTTGCTGTCCTTTATCGCTACATCTTAGACAAATTTCCATTTTCAGAAGCTGGTTGCAGTGGCTTCAACATTGGCTTTGCACATTGAACATTTTATATATTAAACACTGAAGCACCTTGTAATGCCACTAAACACTGAAATATCTATTCTGACATGGAAGCTCACTGTATTACACTCCTGTTTTGAAGACATACTTGTAGATTTTTACATCAGATCCTTAGTAGAACTGTTGTTTTGGGGTTTTTTCCCAAAATTTCAGTGTGGCAAAAATGCAGAAAAATGTAATTTTCTCTACAAGTTTTCCTTTTTTTTTAATCCCAGTAAAACCTGTCAACACTACATCTTTCCAGTCAACCTCATTATTTCCATAATGTATAGCAAAAAATCCTAAAAACATAAACGTCAAAGTATTTGTTGTTTTCCCAACTGTGTACAGTACTCTAATAAACAACACCAGTGCTAATTCATAGTAAGAGGTGCAAAACTTGCTCTGAAGGTAATTTCCACAAATCTTCCAACTCTTTAAAATACTTTCTGTTTTCTGAAGATTGAAGAATCATTTAAAAAAAAAAAAAAAGAAAATTGGTTTCTTAAAATTAGAGCTAATTACTTATGTTGACAGTAAAATTTTGGGGAAGCAATAATTCGTTTGACTAATTACACGTGGTCATTTTCAAATAATGTGATGACTGTGTTGTCCTTCATCTCTGTAGCTCCTAGATGCATCTGGTCATCATCGTATGTCTGATTTCTAGAAATGGGGAATACAACTAAATACTGTAAATAAATTCATTGTATTCCCCTTTAAATAATAATTTAACTCTTGTCTCTTATGTATTTTCTTACTTGACCAGCTTTCTTTAGAAAATAGATTTGTTGGAAAGAGTATTTGACAAAATATAATTTCAATTCAGTATTGCAAAACATTCTGAGACAACAAATTTTGTAACAGGTGCTAGTTTCATAAATCTAATTCAAGAAGGGAGGTTCATCCAAACTGTAGTATGAAAACATGTGAAGACTTCTATCCATCAAGGAAAACTTACTGGAATTAAGTAACCAATCATAGCCACACACTCAAACCAAAACTATAAGCGAAAAACAACAGAAATAAAAAGTGTATATTGTTGTGGTTTAAAAAAAAAAATCATAAATCTCTTATGGGATATATTCTCAAACAATGATTTATTTTTCCTCTGCTTAATGAAACAAGTGAAACAGCCCGGTAACAGGAAAAATAAATTGTGCCAATTTAGCAGTGGAGATAAACTTGAATCAAATCCTGGTCCTACCGCTGAACCAAATCCTAACTGCTGGGAAATTAGAATCCAGAGCCAAACTCCAAGTATGATACATTACTCACAGACCACAGCAAAACCCTTGACAAATCAAAGGGCATCTGAGCATTACTGCACTACAGGGAAAGCAGGGTGCAAATCTGGATTTGCCCAGAAGGTTTCATTTGGCTCTGTTCCAGGTGGCTACTATGAATCCTGTGGCTGTGTGTGGATGTAGGCACAAAGAAATTATGCATTAAAGAGTTTCCATTGAATTTATATATTTTCTCTTTGTTAGTTCCTTTGGAATTAGACATCTTGTAGTGTAGGTTAGCTGCTTCCATCTTTAGATGGCTGAAATTTGCTGAGCAGATAATGCTCTGGGAGGGTGCTGAGGTAATTACTAAGTCTATCACTGCTATTTATTTCTTTGTTTTATGCAGAATAAGGTATGTGATTATTTCTCATGAATGACTGTGAAATTATTGTAGGTCTGGAACACTTCTCCTATAAGGAAAGGCTTAGAGAATTGGGCTTGTGGAGGCTTGAGAAGAGCAGACTTTTGGGACACAAAACTGCAGCCTGTCAGTGCTTAAAGCGGGCCTATGGGAATGCTGGGAACAAATTTTTTACCATGATCTGTCACAAGTATGGGCTTTAAACTAAAAGTGGATAGATTTAGACTAGATATAGGAGAAAATTTTTTAACTGTGAGAGTGATGAAACACCGGTTGGTGAAACAAAGGTTGCCCAGAGAGGGGCCGGATGTCCCATCCCAGGAAATATGCAAGGTCAAGTTGGATGGGGGTCTAAGCATCCTGATCTAGTTGAAGATGTCCCTCCCTGCTCACTGAAAGGGGTTTGCACTACATGACCTTTAACAGTCCCTTCCAACACTAACTATCCAGTGATTTTCACAAGGAACTTTCTCAAGCATCCTTTCCTGCTCCAACTGATTTGGTCTCTAATTGCAGCTTAGTACTCCAAATACCACTTTTTCCACCACCAAGAGAATTAGAACTTCTGAGGCAATCAAGGTCTCAAAGAGCTTATAACACACACCACCCAGCAATGCATATGTGTTTGGCTCTCAACTCTTATTTTTGTGGGGGAACATCCATCAGTTTTGCATGCAAGGTAATTTTAAAATTCATTGGCAGAAATGAAAATAACTATGGAATTTGAATAAGAACATTGTTTTTCTCCTTGTATCTTGGAGGAGTTTTCCTTATTTAAGAACACTAGACCTAAAGAGAGAGGAAAGGCAGTACCAGCTACTCATGTGTAAGAGCAGTATGATTTACCTTCTGTGCATGTCTCTGGCTGCCCAGAACACTCACATCCCATATAGCATATGGCTCCCAGATTAGAAAAAAAGTTCTTTGCCATGATTCACAATTTTCCTCACTTACTCATGTGCCATATTGCGAGCAAATGCAGAACTGTACCCTTTTATTACACATAAAATTAATTGTAATAAAGTAGTATATCCCCCATGACACCTTTCTAAGGACTCTCTTCTGAAGAGATTTAATGGCCAGCTGTCATACTGAGGTTCACCTGGTTCATTTTGTCACTCCCAAGGGAGGACATCATACTAGGGAGAAATTTAATCTTGAAGAGAAGGTGCTTTGCTCTGAGCACTTCCAGCAATCGAACATTTAATACTGTCTTCAACAATAGCTGGCCTAGGATCTAAGCTGACATGAAGCAAGGTAATTCCCCAGAACTATGTGAAAGGATGGCATCATAGCAGGTGAAGTTGCTTCAGAAACTCCATAATCTGATGACCTGCTCTTAGAATAGATGTGTAAAAACAAGCCCACCTAATCATATTTTGCTGAAGAGCAACTCATGGTTAAAAATAAGTGTGTTTTCCCTGCACAAGTCCAAAGAGCTCATGACCAGAAAGAATGCTGTTATCTTAGCAGCACTGTATGAAGTTAGAGGACAAGACAAGGGCACTGCCAGTCGGAAGACAGATAGAACTGCTTTACCTCAAGTGGCTGTGGCATATCAGGCAGGTCACAAAGTCAACAATGCAAACTATAATGCAACACAAGTTTATGCTAGTCAGCAATCCTACAGGAAGGGTTTAAGATCTATTTCCAGTGGTTAATTGTGACAGATGCAATTTCTCCAGTAAGTATCGCCGTGAAGATCAAGTCTGTCTTGTTACTACTTTTGCTACTACTAACACAGACAAATTGTTTGATAAAGCATTTAGGGCTAATTGCTTCAGCAGGAACAACACCTTTAAGAAACAAAAAGATAACAATTAAACATAATTTTTTTTAGGGAGCTACCAAATTTTCTTCCTTAGGGAGCTACCAAATTTTCTTCCTGAGGAAGCAAAGCAGGTTAACCACAGGCTGGTTGAAGATGGTTAGAACTGTCCTCTGTTCACAGAAGGCTGAAGGGGCAGCAAGTGGCACATCTACACAAGTGGTGTGGAGCCCAGCTAGTAAGTCCTGCCAAGAGATGGGGAGTGTTAACTTGTTCTCAGCGCCACAGTAATGAAGTTTTCTGGTTTGCAGGCGTCTTGAAGAAGAAGCAGAACTAATTCTCTTCTGATGGCAAAGATTATGTGATCATCTCTAGAACTGCCTCCTGAATTGAACCACCCACACCAGTACTGTGGGCATATCAGATGTCCCAAAATGCCAAAAGGTAACAAATATTCTTTTCTTTTCAATATATGACTTCATGGCAAAGAGACACACCAGAGAAATGCTTTAGAGTACTATGGTACTGCCTGTGGTCCTGCTTTTCTCAAGAATAACAGTCACCACAGTTTGCATCATGAGCACGTTTTCCTACCTCTGCTTTGTGTTGCCTGGCTGTCATCTCCAAGATCATCTTCTCCTCCATAGGTCCGAATGGGGGATCGAGCATAGGAATGCTTTTGGATAAGGCTCTCCACACTTTCTCTGTAAAAGGAAACAACCTAATATATCAATACCATCCTAAACAGCATCTTATTTTGTTAAGGTAAGTGTAGGCCTTTTCCTGCCCAGATCACAGCTTTCTCACACAGTCTGTCCAAAGTTACTTAACAAAAGACTTACCTCATAGCATGACATTGGAAATGCCAGATTTGGCCTGCATTTTTTTAATATTGCGGATCACCGCTTACCAGCTTCTTCAGCAGAGTGAACTTCCTACTGTGCATCCTGGATGTGGTCTCGGACAGTGAATATCAGACCAGCACTCTTCATAAATTTGAAAATGCAAACTCTGCAGTTATTTGTGCTGAGTGATGAGTCTGGGTTCAAAGAGACACCTGTGGTCCAGCTCCTTTCAAACAAGCTTTTGCAGTGCACATGACCACCTCATTTGCTGCTTTTCCCTTTTTCTGAAAGCAGGGGCAAAGATAGGTGTGTCCAGAGACAACTCAGCTCTGCCTATGCTCTCTATGCTCTCAGCATCAGAGTGGAGGGCAGTTTGTAGCAGGAAGTCTGCAGATACTACTGATCTCGTGCCACATCTATTCTGGGAGGTCAGATGTGTCTGCCAGGCCTCTGCCTCCCTGGTAGCTCAAATCACTGAAGTCACCCAAACAATTTTTAAATAGAAGGAAGGCATATCTGGACGATAAGCCTTAGTAGTTCGTAAGGAAGATTCAACTTTACACTTTCCAAGTGCATTTCCATGTAAGTAGGTGGCATTATACCAAAGATGAAAATGACCTAGGCACATTTCCAAAATGGCTTTGACGTTCTGTTCCTGTTTAAGAAATCTAAGTAGCAATAGTTGTTTAAATCTGCTACTTGATGAACGTTTTGTCTGAATTTACCATTTGTCCATTCATACTTGCTAGCACCCTCTGCTTAGAGAGTCAGTCTGTTCCAGAAATTCCAAGGAAAAATATTTTTCAAGTAACATGATAAATCACAGTGGCACATGTTTTCCTTTCCTACAGAAAGTCCATTATGGTCATTTTGTCCTTGGTCTATCACTGGCATCATTACTTATGCTAGTCTCCTCAGAAAAAAAATAAATAAAAAGAGGATCTTATCAAAGTGATTTACTTGTGTCAGGATTGGAAGTGGACTGAAAGCAATGGCAGTTCCTACATAGAGGATGATATAATTGGATTACTGCCTTTTAAGTGATTGAAAACAGTAGGCATATCAGGGCTATCTTGAAGAAGATTTTCCAAAGAAAAAGACAGATGGCATTGTTTACAGTATGTGCTGAATGCCTCTTGAAACATTAGACTTGCTTCTGAAGCAGAATGTGAAATGCATAGAATTTTACTTGACCAAAAGGACTATTTCATATGAGTACAGCATAACAGAATAACAAATTAGACCGGTGTTGTCTGAGTGATTTAGATACTGGTATATAAACATATTCATAATCCAAGAATTATCCATAGTCTATCAAGGTCTGAAAAATAAATTTAATACAGGTGATTGTCTGTGTTGTCTCTATTGACTTTATTTCCAGTAAGGGCCTGCTTATAACAGCAGATATTACAGCATGTAGTAATATCCTGATGCAACAGAAACAATGCAGGCTGTAGTTTTAGCACAGTGGGCCAATTTCATCTCTAAAGCATTGGATCCAATGGCGGCTTGGGGATAAACTCACCCCAATAAATTTACATTTGAATTACCTACAGGGATTTAAAGCTAAATCAAATGCCCACAATTATTGCAGACTAAATTCTTTCCAGATGGGTTTGTATGCTAGACAGAGAACTCTATTATTCTATATGGTTGTCTTCTTTTAAAGGAAAAAGAGAGATGACTTCTTAGTGAACCCTGAATCTGCAAAGTTTGAAACCAGGGAACTATGTGGTAGGTTTATTTATTTATTTTATGATGTAGTGTTATAGATACTATTCAAAAGGTTTTGGAAGATTAATCTCGTTCATCGGCACAAGAGGCAAAGATTTTTATGGCACAGGGAATGTGGAAACTTGGCTCAGGGAAAACAACTAATCTCACAGAACAGTTCCTTTTGTGCAGCTGAGATTTAATATTCAAAACTGTATGAGCTTATCTTGACTAACCGCGTTGGTTGTTTATGCTATAATCACAAAACACCTACTGAATTTTCATTTTAGCAATGTTGAGGCTGTGACTCTCATTGTGAGTGCAAAGCATTGAGATTCACACCAGAATTTAGACACCTGCCCCCAGAGTCTCCAGGTGGCTCCTTTCCTTTCCATACTACACATACTGCATATAAACCTCCAAACAATAAACCTCCAAACAGACCTACAAAATGCAAAAGGCTGAGCTCACCTAAGTGTGCAAAAGGAAACAGAAAAAAGAAAAAAAGCAAAAAAAAAAAAAAAGCAAAAAAAAAAAAAAGTGGTGTATTTTCTCCACTCAAAAAGCATATCTCTGAGTTATCCTCCAAGCACTGTTTCTTCTACTTAGAAAAACAAGAGCAGAAGTCTTTCTTTCCCCTTGTGTTTCAAAGGAAAAGGGCGTGGTGGCCTCTGCACCATGCTGCAATATTCCATCCTCAGAGAACACCACTTGGATAGAGAAGACAGCAGTTGCAATTAATTTAACTTATTAAAACATTTGGATTTTCCCACACGGGCTGGAAAGAGGAGACTAACCTACTCCACCCTTTAAAGATAGAGGTGCCTTAGGACTTGACTCCAACACAGATACGTAGGAGGAAGCAAAACTTTAACAACAAGACTTAAGCACCTGTGCAATCTAGCTCAAAATGCAGGAGCAAAGCTGTCAATCTGGAACACAGATTCCTTCTTATATCCTTGTTTCCACTGGGTACAAAAAGACTTAAATAACAAAATCTTTCTGAAAATTCTCCTTATGGAAGTATCAACCCTTTAGGTTATCCCAAATACGGTGCTCTGGAGAGTGGATTAATAAAATACTTTTTTTTCAAGTCTCAAAATATTACACTAACAGTACTAAAAGGGAAATACATTATTACCTCTGGCTTTATAGTTCTGTATGCAACGTCAGATATTTCAATGTGGTTCCAATGATTTACAGAAATAATTTTGTAAATTACTGAATAATGAATTAATATTTGCCACTTTATGATTCTATGCTTAATTTCAAAAATGGCAAGGGAAGAATATGGTGGAGTTTTTTTTTTAAAGATGTCTTTGCTTATTTTTCAGCACTGTTCCACAGTAAACATGTTGTCTGAAGAACAAAGTGACTTCCAGTAACTCAATACTCAGCTTCTGTTCTGTTTCTTTGTTTGAGATCAGAGACTTGTTATCTAATACTGGGACCTAAGAACTTTTACCTTTTAATGTGTCTAAGAACTCCACAGTTTCTTTATTAGCAATAAATTAGCATTAAACCTTGTTCTGAGAGAGATCACAAGCTGCCAACTGAATAAAGGAAAGATGTCTTCTTTCTGTCAAATGTTTTTGTGTGGTCTACCAACAAGTTCAGTCTTCCATGCTGTTCTTCAACTCACAGATGTCTTGGAAATACCCAGAGGAGGGGGAAAGCATGCAGATACAAACAATATATTACTATGATGAAGTTATGCAATGTGTACAACTGGATAATTAGTAGGAGATGACAGGCTGGAGAAAAGCAAGTTAGGGACTGAAGCTGCTTGAGAAAAAGGATCCATGTGCCAAATGAAAAGGAAAAAACTAAGCTCGTATTGGCAAGCACACCACAGAGAAGATGCGAGGAAGGACAAACGTGAAGAGAGATAACAGGAAAAGGAACTCAGGCTGATCCAAATAATCTGAATTCCAACAGAAGCACACTTTGAGCCCTGTCAATAAACCTTATTATGAATGAAGCACTTGTCTCCTTAGTCCAAGAAATAAACCAGCAAAATTTGAACCTGGAATAAAAGCATGTGAAAGGCTGAAAGAATTCATCAATTATAAAGGGTTTAGGGTGCACAGGGAATATCTTGCTATTCTGCAGGTTCTAACCTCTTGATTAAACATTTCACTCTTGCCTCTGCTGGCAAGCGATTCCAAAATGAAACTTCTGGCTAGGGATGCTTTATGTCATAGAGTTCCAAGCTGAGTCTTTGGCCTTGTTTAGCTAACAGTGCCCTGTATGTGCAGAGTAGCCTCGAAGGACCAAAAGAAGATGTGAAAATCCTGATGTTACTGACAAATGATTCACTAACATTTTACAGACCAAGCCCAAGATTTGCCATGGATTTGAGCTAGGAGAGGGCAGAGAACAGAGTTGGCTTGGTAAGTAGCTGAGGCTCTGTACGAGGGTGCTCACTTTCTTTTGCTGTCAACCCAGATTATAGAAATTCTCTCAGAAGATGATGAAGTCCCAGCCTGAGCAGGATCTTTAATCAAGATGAAAGAACAGGGCTTCTTTGTAGGTGGGAGCAGGCATCTCTGATGTCATTTTTTCTGCTCCTTTTGCTATTTCTCTACTTCAGCTGTGCATGCACAGCAGCCTGGTGATCACCACAACCCTGATTCTGAATTTGGCAGAAAGGAGATGGGAAGCCTACCTTCTCCCTTTAGGACAAAAATCCTTAGGACAATATATTTAGGGCTGGTGAAGGTGACAAGAAAGCTGATTCAGAAGTAGCTTGCTGGAACCAGGACATCAGTATCTATCTCAGATGTATACCATGGCTACAAAGAGGGTGAAGTTTGGTGTGAGGGGCAGCCATCCCTTGCACTGAAAGCCAGGATCAAGCTTCTTTGAAGACAACATGCTAAAGTCAAACTGTGGTGAGAAAGAGCAAGTGGCGGAGCCAGGCGCTCTGAATTTATGTCTTCTGCACAAGTTACTGTTTCAGGAATGGCTAGAAGAGGTAAAAAATTTAGAGCAGAGCTAAGAAGCCTCTTATTATTAACTTCTTTTTTTTTTCCCCCCTTTGCTATCCAAGGGCTGGATATGCAGAAAGGTAAGGATATTTCCGGAATCTGCTCCTTGTTCCTGGTGTCATGGGATTTGCTTTTTTCTACTTTTTTTCTTGTTCTTTGCAAGGAAAGGCAATGCCAATTAAAAAAAAAAATGTTAAAAAAAGAAGGAAAATAATGAAATAGTAAAACTAACAATTGTGTTTTGCTTGACCATTCCAACAAAAAGAAAAATACAGAACAGAACAGGATATAAAGTGTATGAATTATCAGTTTGCAGCCTGAATGACTTCTTTAGTTCTGCATTTCAAAGGTTTCCTTTTTTTGAAGCTGCCAGTTAGTATGTTTGGAAGAAAGCCCAGATAACAGAAGATGTCAGAAGTGAGGTGAGGTGAAGACAGATGGAATAAATGGGCTGAGAAGGCACAAAAATAAACTTGTCGGAAGTCGCACTGTAGTAGGACTTTTTTTTAAGGGAAAAGATGACTAATTTGTCCAAGACACAAGTGCTAAAAACAAGTCTCTAAAAAAAAAAAAAAAAAAAAAAAAAAAAAAAAAAAACCACAAAACACCCAAACAAAACAAAACAAAAAAACCAGCCTAATCAATGAATAAAACTCCCCCTAAAAAAACCAAGAAAAACAAAAAAAAAGAAAAAAAGAAAAAAACCAAACCAAAAAAAAAAAAAACCACCCAAACAAAACAAAACAAACAAACAAACAAAAAAACCAACCTAATCAATAAATAAAACTCCCCCTAAAAAACCAAGAAAAATCACTCACCTCCCAAAAAACCAAAATGATATAGAGCAAATAGATTTCTGTACAGCATCTACGAGTGAAGAACTTATGCTGTCAGAACTACTGCTGAGATATCACTCAGCCTTTATGTTCCTGTGGCTTTTATTTGCTACTTTACATATGCACATACATGTAGACATATTAATTTTCTACATACACTTGCTCCTACTGCTAGATAGAAGCTGACCACAGGAACATAGTTCAGGTTGTGGATGGTCCATGGTATGGACCAAATCCTTGAGCAAACAGAACAAAGTAGTACTGTTCCACTGCTTAGGTTAGAACTGAACTAACCAGGGACAAAACAAGGCCTACAGGCTACAGTAGCTCGTGTACCTGGCCCAAAAACTAACCTAGAGCTGCAAAACACTTTCACACAGAGTCAAAACTGCTGGGCAAGTGTTGGATGGATGCATTACTGCAAGAATTTATACAAGAAGGAAGGGAAATGAGTCTTAAATTAGGGAAAATGCAGGGTTTGATGACTGTAGAATAACAGGTGTACCTCTGCAATGATGCCTACTGTCACCCTCTCAGTAAAAATCTAGCACTTGTAGATTAGCTGTAATATGCATGGATGTGACAAAGCCTAGCTGAAGCCATGGTATGGGAAAAGGAATGACATTTATGAAGAAGGGGCATGAAGCTATCAATACGCTCACACCACTTCTCTCAATTGCAAATAAAAATGAGAAAATTATCTCACATAGCCAGCCCCATGGAGCTCCACTTCATCCAGGGGAGTAACTATTTCTTTCTGTTATGCCCACACTACATCTGCATGAGGTGAGTGGAAACAACTAGAATAATATTTTTATACCATTTTGCACAAGTAAGAAGACAGATAACAGAAAGCCTAAGTGGAAAATGAGCCAGAGTATGAGTGCTTAAAAACTTGGGAACGAAAGAGTATTTAAGTGGCACAGGGGGGCTTTCTGCTGGGTGAAAAGGAACAGTTGCCTGGCTAACAGCAAGCAGAGTCAGATGTACCAGATTTGAAGGGACTAATTCAGGTGTTTAAACATGGGCAGGTAGTGTTTTCAAAATAAGGCATCCTGCAGTGTTCTGGAAGGGATGATGCAGAAAGTACAGACAATACATCCACCCATCTGGAGCAGCAGCTGAAGGCTGGAGTAACCTCAGCAACATCTGGAATACTGGCACTAGATACCAGGTGTTTAGATGCCAGAGTCCTTGGTATTTCTCCCTAAATTCAGGACTTCTTTTCTTCTCTGAACCTAAACATCAGAGATGATATCTCATGGCTGATTGCTGACATTCACAGACTGACAGCTGGCTGAGAATAAAGGATCAGCTGGCAGTTTGACTTATTGGAGAACTATGCCAAAGCCCTACTTTACCATGGATGTGGGGGTAGGTCAGAGAGCCTGCATATGTTTCTGGCTGTTGGTAGAGGTCTTTCAAGAGTCTGGGAAGTTCTAGACCAGCAGTAGGCAACAGGAATGGGGAAGAAGGCAGCTCAGTGGGGTGAGCAGGGAAGGGCTGGGAGAGAGGATGGCTGTGCTCAGCCCATCACTGAGCTTTGACTGATCCTTCAGCAGGGAAGTGCCCCTATCCAGGCATTAGCATGAACTTTGCTTACAGCCTTGTAAGCCAGTGTGATGTATTTCCACATCTCAGAGATGAAGCTCCTCAGGGGAAAATCTGGAATTTTATTACCATGCAAATCCAGTTGGGATGCTGCTCTCTAACTTCCCCATCCCCCATCCTTCCCTTCTCTACCTAAAAATTACTTGGGTGTGCAACCATACTTTTCCATATTTCCTCTTGAAGTATCCCAGAAGCATTATTGGACTAGTTCAGATGGGTATACTCATTTAACTCTCTCCTTAAATATTAAAAATCCTCACCCTGAGCTTGCCTATCACATACTTGGCTCCTGCTCTTGAAATTATCACCTTTTTCACTGGATTTTTGAATGGTATGTAATTATGATGGTTTTATTTATCTATTTATTTTTAACAGGCTAATTTTTCACAACAGCTCAAAAGATAAATTCAGACTCAAGATGAAAAAGTTCATCTGTTAGGCTCTGCCTCTGCATCCTGTATTCCTGTGGCAGCTTTTTCTTCAGCAGAAATGCCTCACTACCCAATTTGGCATCCCATAGTCAACACCACAGTATGCTAAGCTCCACATTCTGGTAATTGCTGCTAAGTGTTCAATTTTTTCATCCACAGCCACAGTGGGAGCCGTTTTATAGTAGAGGAGATGTAAATACCACGTAAAAAGATCAAAAGGTGAGTCAGAAACTTATCTAAATCCCAGTAGCCCCAGATAAAGTCTGCCCCATTGCTATAAATAGATTGCCACAAGTAATGCAGGGAAAGGGTTGATTGTGACGGGAACCTTGCATCCTACAAAATGTTCAGTATATACCAAACTCACCAAAGATTTTTTTTTTTGGTAGTTAAAAGACTTGCATATAGAAATAAGTACAAGGAAACCATCCTATGGTATTTAGACAGGGACAAAGGAAAACACAGAGCATTTCAAAAGCATTGCTGTTGCCTACCTCCTCTACTGCTGTGCACATTTCACTACCTTTATATATATTATTTCAACTCCAACACATACAATTCCAACAGATTTAATCCTAACAGCATTTGCAGCTTGAATTTCTTACATAAGGATCGTAAATCTAGAATGGGAAGCCTGAAATCGTTAAAGTCACATATTTATAAAATCATATTCAATTAGGTTAAAAAAGTGCAATTTCTGTCATCATGTCATAAAAAGATGTGTTTTTCTCTCAGATCTACTATAAAGAAAAGCTCCCTATATTGTTACAGATAGAGGCTGTTTTCAATCAGTTACAAGAAGCAATCCAATTACTGGATGGTTTAGTGCAGTAACTGACTCCAGACTAATTTAATTTCTTTAGGTCTCTAAAGATCAATTGATCTGATTTGTTTCCCTCCCCAAAGGCTGTTTAGGAAAAAGCAGGCTTAAATACTTGGAAATGAAATACAAAGCTCTGTGTGCTTTCACACTACTTAGGTCATTTGGAAAAGCTAGAACTCAGGATAAATGAGTGCTGTCTTGGCCCCAGCATCATGGGACGCTTTACGGGAGCCCATTAGGATCACCACGCCACACTGCAGATTACACACGCACGTGCTGAGTGCACGCCTGCTGAGGGACCAGGGCTGGGAAAGTATTTTCACAGCTTCTAGAGAACTGGGCAATTTTCAAGAGCTGTGCAAGTGTGTTTTGGCCTTCACAATCTTTTCCTTGGAAAATAAGTATTTTTCTCCAGCAGCGATCTGATAGTTTCCAATTAGACTGAGCAAGAGTCATGCTGTGCTATTCAAAAATCACCTATTTGCAATTAATGTTGCAATGGACATCAAATAAGAAATTCTCCCTGTTGTCATATCTCACTTCACTATTCCCTTTGCTTTGTTTCAGATTTAAGTGATTTTGCTGGTGCTAAGATGAAATCTTTAGAACCGGTGGGCACTTAGAGAATGATGTCTTCATGTGCCTGAGTATTTTAATGGCAGAACCAAACAAACCCCCTGATATTTCTGCACCATTTGTATGACTTAGGCAATTCTCAAACACTCTCTTACCAGCCCACTTGCCTGTTACACTTTTATTATCTCATGACTTGATGTGTTGTGCAGCAGGTTTTGAATTTTTAAATAATATTGTAATAGTAATCAGGGTTAAGCTTTCTAATTTAAGTCAAAAATCAGACCTGACCCAAACCTGGGCTCTCAAATCCATAGTTTCAATGCAAGTTTAATACTTTTCACATTCTGCTTCTTATATTTATTGCAGGCTTCACATTTGTCTGCCTTATCTTTCATGGCAACATTTGTGCCTGGGCTCGGCTGCCTGTCTCAGGGTCTATTCTTACACTTATCAATAAACAAAAGGGCACTGCAGCTTATGCTCAGCATTTCTGACTCCATGCCATGTGCTGTTATAATAAGATGTCCTCTGGAAAAATTCCCTTCATATCCAGCACCATGATAGTCCGTTCATCTGCACAGAGGTAACTAAGTTTTTCTCCCGGCTTATCTGTTCAGACTCTTTCCGTCCTTGCAAAGCTGTGTTGTTAGATGTCTCTTGTCTGTAAAACAAGGAAACCTCTTCTGACAGGTCCTTCCTTGGCTATTTATTGCATACTAACCTAAGCTTTGGATGCTGTTTACTTCAGTATTCCCTCAATACAGCAGGCCATGCTATTTTATTAAATTTGTCTCTTTTTTTTCGTTTGTTTTCATTTTCAGTTAAGGGTTCTACTTAAGAAACAATTTTCAACTACTTTGCAGGAGTGCACTGCAGCCTACAATCTGTCTTTCTCCAAATTTCTGTTCTTTTACCCATTTACTCAACAGATCACTTATGATCCAGTCACTAGTAGGGTGTAAAGGATACGACTACTTCCCATCCATGGGCCTGCTTAGATAGATGTACTTTTGAACTGCTGTAAAGACTTTCTCTAGCTCTGTGACTATGACTTCACTGAGCAGCTTGTCCCCTGCATGCACCTGTGAAAAATGATTCACAGATACATCTGGATATCTCCACATAGGAGCCTGGAGGGTTTTGGCCTCTCCAAACTTTCTTTCATGATTGTGTGCTCATAGGAAAAATTGGATGTGCTATATCCATCTCCATCAAGTTCTCTTCCAGCTTAAAGGACACAAGCAGCTTAATTTGCTTCATTTGCCAAGTTATTTGACACGATACCATAAAAATGTGATGTGCTGGAAAGCGACCAAGAGATTGAAGTTTATTTCCTAACTCAGCTGTGGGTTAATACTTCTGTCCCTATGGCAGCAGTTGCTTGTAATGAGCTGTACACACACAAAACAGTTTCCAGATAAAGCTTTCCCCTGATGCAGCTTGTGATACAACTTTGGTGAAACAAAAATGGCATCTTTGTTGTCAGAGTGGGAGTTATGGGAGTCATCCTGATTGCAGTAATTGCCAATTTGGTGTCTGGGACTGCTGAAGTGAATTTTGGGAGCTCTCCTCTCTCTTTTCCACTGTGTTGAGCAGTGGGGAGCTGTAAAGATGTTTTTCACAGGACCACTGCCCTTGTTTCCCATTGACCCAATTCACAGCTCTCAACAGGATTAAATGGCATGATAAGAAAAAGGCTTTTCGTTCTGAAGTTGTAAAACTGACCCTCTTCCCCCTTCAAGAAGCCCCCTGAGGAAGACGAATATATTGGCCCCAACTGGAACAGATGTCAAAACTCAAAACAGCTCTTTCTTCATAAAGTTTATGAGTATTTTTAAAGGATGTGGAGGAGTCTTACTATATGCAGCAAGATAACATTAAAATGCACAGGTTCTCAGGAGTTGAAAGGATGCTTTTCCTACAAACTCTCTCTTCTCTTTATCTTATCTGCATGGAAAGTAAACAGAAAGTCCCCATTACCTCTCGATATCAGTGAGTCTGGAAGAGTCACGGAATCCTTTAGCAAAAGGGTTGCTGTCAATTTTCAGCTTGGTTATCTGGGAACACAAAAAAGAGCGACGTTACACGAATACAGTGTCGGGGCACTGCCGCCTACAAAGTGTTGAGCAATCCATCCCCTGTGACTTCGCTGCTCATTCCATCCGCGTGCCCCGTGCGTGTGTGCTGCTCCTGAGACACTGCAGAGCTGAGGAGCCAAACCAGGGAGCACTGCACATGTGCCAGTGGAAAGACCAAAGGCTCAGCCTTCCTGTTGCCTGGAGCAGGATGAACCCAGCCACGGACAGCATTAGAGCTTTCAAATAGTTTACCAGCATCAATCAGGCTGTCTTCCACAATCAGCACAAATCACCCTGCTAACACAGCTGAGCCTGCTTGCTGGAGCTGCACCTCAACCAACACAAGCCCCAGCGACCTGATGCCATGGCTTCACTTCACCACCACCTTTTTTATTTTACTGGGATGGAAATCTTCTCAGCAAGGCCTACCAGCCACCACATAGGGGCAGTTTAACTGGTTTTGTATGAAAAGAGGCTGAGGAAGGCAAGGAAAAATGTGGGGAGTGCTCAGATTTAAAGTGACAGAACTTGGATTGAAGGAGTGACCCCACTGAAACTGTCACAGTCTTGAAAAACCATGGATCATGAATAAAAACTTCTTCAAAGGTAGCTATAAACCTGCCACTCATTCAGTCAACCTTTCCATTTTGACTGAGCAACCCACTGACCAGGAATCCCTCCTGCCCCAAAACATCTGAGCTCCCCTTTGTGGTGAAACTTTGTGGCTTTCAATATGTTTTTTTGAGGACCAGTAAAAATATGCACCATTGCTCTTGTGAAGTTTTCTATCTATCAAACAAATTTAGATTTGGTGAATAAAACCTGATTGTAATATTTGGATTTTCCAGCCATACTTCTTCCAAGAGCTAAAAATAAAATTGTAAGTGGGAGTTAGAGCTTGATGAGAGAAAACACAGAACCCATCCTGCAGGGCAGTGAATGCAACCAGCTCTAGCTTAAGCCCATGAAAATCAACAGCTCTCAACATTTCATATTAAGGGGTTTTGTCAGCCTGACTTCCCTCAAAAAAATCCTGTATCAAAGAGGCTACAACCTCATTTTAATAACTGGGCTTCAAGACTCGGGAAAAAAGAAATGGGATCTTTTCCAAATCCTCAAACAATGAAACACTCTTATCAAACAAATATTTTTCAAAATGGGGTGGCTTCTCCCCCAAAATAAAAAAATAAAAAAAAAAAATTAAAAGGACAAATATATATTTATACAAAATGTAAAAAACTAAAGAGGACAACTGGACCCAGCTTTTAATTCTGAGAAAGAGGTCTTCTGAGGAAAACACGGAGAGGAAGGGACATGCTGACAAAGAGAAATTCTGAGTTTTTAATTAAGGGTCTGTCAGTGGTCAAACACCATGGACCTGAGTGCTGGTGGAGAGTTTGAGGCTGTCTCATCGCTCATGTACAGCTGGTGGAAACAACCTTGAAGCCTTGTCAGAAGGACCTTGAATCAGCTCAGAAAATTAGTTATAGGCCATTCTACTTCCAAGACATCCATAAGCCCTCAGCTCATGGGGATGTTGCAGAGTGGCAAGCTAGTGCCTCACATCCAGTGAATATTTTTCCAGCAGCATTTTGAAAACCACCTTGAAAAAAGACAAGCTCTAACTAGTTCCATTGACTGAGATCACTGACACATCAAGCCAACTGCACTACAGAACAATAAGGATGTCTATTCATCTCTTGAGCATATTTTCACCAATCAAACTTCCATCTTCCTGATATTAAAGTTTTGGTATGACATCACAGAAGAAACTTTTTGTATCCACCAAAGCCAGATGAGACTCACAATCATTTATGGCCATATTTTTCCTGAGAGACTGTCTCACAAACAATCAGAGAACATCTGCTAGAAAGCATTTTAAAATGAAATCTGACCTACAATTCAACTCTGTGGCAGTGGTTTGACTGTTTAAATAAATGCATGCCCTTTAAATCTTAAATTATGAGATAGTTTGTTGAAAGTGTAATGTATTTAGCTTTTATCTAATAACCTCCAGAAATGTAATCAATCCCTCCTTAAAACAGTTCTGAAAGAAATGGCAAAAATGAAAAAAGGCTCCATTTTCATTAGTCATAAATAAAATGACAACATCAACCTCTAGGGGTTCCGGAGATGTTCCATTGAGAAATTTTCCAGGACTCAATGTATGTGCTTTTAGTTTAGAAACATCTCTAGTGTAAATATCATCGGTAGACAAAAATCCATCCTACAGAAATAAATTCTGGGTTTAGCTGGTTTTGTGCCTGTTACTATTTTGCTGGTTTCTAAAGAAAGTGGAAAAATCTAACTGCCTGTCCAAACATTATTTTCTTGAGATTGCCAGGTGCTGAGTATGTTTTCTACAGCATTCAGATACAAATCTAAGTCTAAATCAATACATTAAAGCCTTAAAGCAGAATGTGGGGTCTGTCACAAGGACTGACTTAATGTTACTAATATTATGTTCAGAGCTTCCTTGACACCCTCTGCATTAGTTTCACTTTATTCATAGCATTTCAAAATTGCTTTTGTTTCATATTAGGAAATGCCTACTTCTTAAAATAATCCAGCAGGTACATTAACTCTCCAATGCTGCCTGCCCACATATTTGGGCAGTGCCTATATTTTTCTGAACTTGAAGGAACTAAGGAGCAAAATAGGTGGTTTTTTTTTTTTTGAAGTACCATAGTCAGTAAGTCCTTAAAGCACGCTCCGAATCGCACTGAAGGCAACAACGTATTTCCACTGACTTAAAGCCCAATCCACCATCAAGCAGAGCCTCTGTTCTCTGATTGTTTATAGACTTCCTAAAATTACTCATTAGCAATCCATTGTTATGATCTCCTCCATTTTGTATACATTATTCACTGGCATGCAAATTGAAATTCAAACATCTGGATGTAATCTGGGCAGCCTCTGAAAAGCATATCTCTGAGTGATTTTCCCTACGTTTGAGCTTTACGGCTTAATTAGTCAACTTTCTAAGCCCATGAAATCATCATGTGCAAACCAGAATCTCTCTCAGCTCGTAGCTTGTGGCATGAAAGATCACTGCAAATAAGAACAGTTCTTTAATGAGCTATAATTAGAAAATGACTAAATGTTAATATGCAAGCAGCTTTGTATAGACAGAGGAGAAGACAAAAGAAAGCCTCTTACTTGCCAGTTTCACTCTCATGAATAATCCTTACTGCTCTTTGAAGTCTGTACTACTACTGTATCTTCAGGAATTACTCGTGAATGTGAATAAGTTTGGCATGGCAAGGTAAATTATGGAAGAAATTTTCCTAGTTTAGATTGGGCAGAAGGGAGTTTTCAGTAGTGTGGGATCTAGTTACATCTGTGGAAATTAGCAATTCTACTCACCAATTGATTCTGGTAGGCAGTAACAGCAGTAAAAACTGTCTCTGGAAAGATGAATGTTCTGAACTCTTCTGATTTTAGATTTAGCAAGGAAGCTGTGTGATCCTTCTTCTTAATGATGTGCACCCTTGGCTGGTACTTGTGCATGGAGTTCAAAATGATCTGCAAGAAAGAATGACAGAGCACTGTCCTGAGAGGAAGGTTGACAGGGCCCTTAAAAGCTATAAAACCACGGGGAGAGGGGTGGAGGGAAAGATCTAATTAACACTATAGGGGAAGCATCTGAAATCTACCCAGCCAGGGGCTGGTTTTCAGAGCTAATTCTCCAGCTCCTTTGGGCAGTTCCAGGAAATGAAGGTGGAAAAGCAGGCATCCCAGGAGCTAGTCTCCTCTCACTCCTACGCCACTGGTGATCATGCATTTCTTGAGGCATAAATACTTGTTCCTACAGGTGAGATGTTTTACATACAGAATTAGTCACTGCCAGAGTGTGCCCTGGTTGGCAGATGTGAATAGGTAACTCCTGAAAGCTAACAGCCAAGAGCCCCCACTTGCAGATATGTGCATGTGCAGAATGAAAACAGTCACAAATCCCTCAGAAAAAAAAAATGACGGAAAAAATTAGACCCATCCAAAAACCTACCAACAGCAGCACAAACCATCTGACCAAAAGTAAAACTCCACGTAGCCTTTCACTGTGGCAAACCTTTAAAACAAACTCCTTCAGGGGTGCTCTTCACCGCAGACTACCAAAAATGAGAGCAAGGAGGGAAACCAGCACGGAACCCCCAAATGACTGGGTTTTGCTATTCTGTCCTCATTAATAATTGTTTACGAGCTCCCAAAACAATTCTAAACCTAAGGTACCAACCAACCAATTTCAACTGTTCACTGGAGTCAAACCAAGCCAAAGCAAGTCCCCCTTGCTTTAGTTACCACTGGCTGGAGGCCTGTTTGGCGGTCTCTAACCACAGTATTACAATATAAGAATTAAATACAGAGCTCAGCTCACACCAGCCCTTGTTTTGGATATAATCACAGTCACAAGACAAAATTGGCAATGGTGTGGGTGGTTCTATTTTGCAGGGGCCATAACGACATTACAGTCAGCTCCGTACATCTGGAATAGCTAATGTGCATTCCTCAGGAAGCGTTAACTTCAGCTGAAACATTGCAGGAGCAGTGCAGTATTTCATGCTAAGTCAATGAGAAAGGTTGCACATTGCATTGGAGTGGAGAGCTTAGAGACAGCTCTGTCATGGCTACAATTTCCATCAATGTTTTTCTTTGCTGCTCCTTTGGGCCCAAATATTGCCAAGACTCTCACTGGGACTTTGTGGGGAGGCACAGAGCAACAAGAAAGACATTGCAATGACAGTGAACCATCATCCTGAAAGTGTTGCATGTTCACTCTAACCAGCTCAGGTCCCTTTTCAAAGCACTTCATTTTATATAGGAACACACACAGTGGCCATGGACCTTGCCTTTCATATCCTTAGCACTTTTCCCTCTCTTTGTAAAATTTCGTTTTTCCATCCTAGTTAGTTGGAGTGCTCTAAGCAGATGGAAAAGACATTTTAAAGCAGGGTGTGTGGATGGTGATGAGCTTACTGAGGGCTTGGCACACAGATCTTGGTGCTTTCCATTGCCTTTCATGGCCATGATATACACACCAAGGCATTACACCTGAGCAGCAGTGGGGAAGAAGGAGGAAAAAGTTGAGAGCAGCTCCCACACATGCCCTTTTCTTTCACTCCTCTCTGAATGCAAATTGTGATAAAGGAACTACATTTCTCAAACAAGAACATGTAATCTCTTACGAAAGTTTTCCATAAAATAGAGCGTACATGGATAACTTCCCTTGCCATGGTGCTCTACATTTCTCATTCCCACCAGAGGCAAGTCTGGTCATTCATGTACAAAACAAGTACTGAATGGAGCTGGGAGGTCACAAAACACCCATGCCCAAGGAAAATGTCACCATTTCCTTCATGTGAGGGTCTGTATGTGTGGTTCCCCACCTCCACCCCCACACAAGCTGCTGATGACACACAAAGACAGTCCTTAATATCTGTATTAGGACCACATAAAAACAGCCCAAAGGAGTGAGATCCACAGGGTGTTCCCCAGAGAGTAGACTCCAAGAGTGGCCTCAAAGTCCAAGCAGTCCTGCAGGTGTAGCTATCAGAAAATCGCTTGTGCCAGCTCAGTGACAATCCTGCTGGCATGTCCCAAGCGGTACATCAGGTGCCCATATATTCATGGCAGCCCCCCTGCACACACTTGCTGGCAGCCACAGACCCTCAGCCACCCCATCCACCTTTGTGCTGACAGCCTGAGTCAGGGGAGATGACCAGGATACCTCCTTACAGGATCCTGATTGCTGTAAGGTCAGGCAGGTTTGTAGGCATCTGGCTCCCACCAGTCACCGGAGGCAATCTGGATGCCAGCTGCAAAATTCCAAGGTGGTTTTGAATTCAGGAACTGTGCTGTGAGTGCCGTTTCCATATTCACCAAATAATAGCATTACCATGTAAAATTTTCTTTCTGAAAGCACAAAGGTTCCTAACTTGTGCCTGGTTGACTAAAAAAACTTGAGCATAACTCCGTGTGGCTATTCCACAACCCCTTTTCAGTTTTCACAGTTATTTATTAAACATGTTCACAGCTTTGAGTTTGCTATTGCATAGATTCATGTGTTTGAGTAAATGCCAAAATTAATGCCAAATATATTATTACAATAATGTATTCACTCATGGCTCACCTCACCATAAACCAGAAATGATGGCACTCAAATGAAGGGCAGTGAAAATCCTAAAGAAAGCACTCTGTGTGAAAAGTATCATTTAAAAACAGGGGGGAAAAAAAGTCACACTCATAAGTATTTCAGCGTCAGAAAAATGGCAATTACTTGCTTGGCTGTAAAAATCTAGAGATAGGAGCCATTTCCTTCCTCTGGTAAAGATATCTGAAAGTGTTTCCATGCAGTGAGGTGTATGCCATGCACACAGAGATTAGACTTCTGCCTGAGGCTTGAGGAGAATATGTGCATAACTCTGGGGTTACACATGCTGCTGAAGGTACACAATCAGAAATGCTTGCCAGCCCCAAAAGTCTCAGAATAAGAGAAAACAAACATATGCTAGAACAAACAAATGCCTCTCTTCTCTACTTCTTCCTTTTCAGGAAGGGAACCACCCTACAAATAAACCACAATTACCTTAACACCCAAAACTGTCTCTGCACGGTGAAGAAAGCAAGCAACTAGAACAAACTGGAATCAGGCTGGATCCATTTTCCCTACCTGTAATACCTGAAGTATTTAAAGGCGCCTTTTGGGTCATCCAAATTTCCTCGGGAACCAACATGCCTTACCAAACATAATTAAAAAGTGAAGACTGGCTCTTTCAAACCTTCATACACAGGAGTTCGGAAATGCCATGAGGCATAGCACAGTGACCCCTCCTTAAAGGCTCCAGAGAACTGATTTCTTCCTTAATTCTACTGATCATCCAATGATGGCATTTGCCTAACTTCAGTAAGGCAGCACATAAAACCTGGCATCCTCATTTGGAACATAAAGCCCCATTAAAAAGAGAGTGCTCTGTGAAGGGGTAACACCTGACACTCAAATCTCAACACGGGATCAAGCCTTCAGGGCTTATCCTTAACTGAGCACACAAAACTTTCCATTGTCGTTGGCTGTCCAGAGCCTTTGTGTAAAGAATGGGATCAACCTCTGCTTCTCCGGAAATTAATGGGAAGGCTGCGTCTCAAACACTACGGATATTTTCTCCTGCTGCCTGTATTTGAGACGATTACATCTTCTTGCTCTGCCACATGTCTCTGTTCCCGACAGCTCCTCAGACCCACTTCTTCTTCCTACTCCTCTGGGCTTCTGGGAACTGCAGCTCTCCTAACTAGCTTGCAATATACTGCTGCAAGCCTTTTATTAGAGGCACACATGGCCCCTGTTATGATGAAAAATGCTTCTTTTTAAGTGCTCACGTATACTGCTCTATCATCACTCGGTGATAGAGCCCACAAATCTTCAGCTTTGCCCTTCTACAGATTATGAAATAAAAGAGAGGAAAAAAGCAAAACCATTCTCCACTAGTCCTGAAGGGAACAACAGTGGGAACTGGGTTCAAGAACAATATATTCACAGATGGATCTCTACAAAAGAAAAACACAGAGGCATCTATCTGGGCTTTCTTTTGTTTATTTGTTTGTTTCAGCTACTTTTGATGCTGTTATTTCCAGGATGTATTTTAAATGATCATGGCTGTGGTTCAATTCTCAGTTCTTGAAACGAGTGAAAATTCACTTTTGGATGAGAAACATTTGCACAGAACACAGCTGAGACAAATGGCCACTGTCTCCCACAGTCCAGGCAATAAATTCCACACTAGGGAAGGGATTTCTGATACATTGTATTCAGCAATTGTTCAGCTGAATGAATTAATTATCCTACACATGCTTTAGAATTCAACATCATTTCTCTCTTCCCAACACCTCATTTACTAACACTGCATTTATGCTCATTCTTCTAAACTGAACTGCCCTGTTCTCAGTCAACAATTCTTTCAAATCCATCCCCTTGCTCCTTCTGCCTTCCTTGAGAGAATCACCAAGCCCAGAGGCAACAATTTTAGCTCTTTCTTCGCAATTTGGAAGCACTGTCTAGTTGTTCCTGCACTTCACAGGCACTTTTATGGAGAGAACAGGGCATACAATACCTATTCTTACCACCTACCACTAGGCACTCAGATAACTACAGGAGTTGTCCCCACTGATGGAGCACAGCAGGAACCCATGGCAAGCAGCTCTGAATCCTATTCACCATCCTCCAGCCTCAGGACTTGGGACAACAAACCAGCCAGAGCTGGGACCTGTCTCTTTCAGTGGCCCAAGCCCACCCTGTGGCACCTTGCAGTTAGCCTACAGTTGTTTCAAGGGCAATTGAGGCACACTTATGTTTTATAATTCTATAGACCCTGCTTTGGTGTCAGGTCAGTGTTTTCTTCTGACTCTGAGCCCATGCTGCGATGAGTCTGGAAGTCAAAGAGCTCTTATTGACAGGCCCAACCCTAGCAGGTGGCCTGAAGTGACCTGTAGGGAGCTTCCAAGCACACAGATAAAAGCACGTGGGTTTGCTGGCCAAGGCGTGTGGCAGAGCTTACTGCCAAGTCACAGCAAAATGAAAGCAGAAGCACAACAAAAGGCTCAGCTGCCTTCCTTCTATCCCTATGTTCAACTCCACCCTGACCTTGTCTCTGATGGATGTTTTGCCTGTTCCTCAACAACAAAAGAACACAAAAGGACCCTTAAACATGTTAAACCGAAACGTTCAAGCTTCACACAACATCTTCCAGCCCTGTGGTACGAAGGGCTGGCTAAAAGAGGTGTAACAGGGGGGCCATGGCAGCCTTTCCCCATGGCAGTCTCTCTCTCATTCAGCCCTGTGGCACAAGCAAGCAATTCCTTGGTGATTTCTTTTCCCTTTCCCACCCATAGAGCTACTCACATGGCCATGCTGATCCAGCTCGTTGTTGGTGAGTTTGACTTTTTCGAAGGACACCATCTGCTTCAGCAGTTGCTCTCCTGTGAACGGGGAGTCGGGGTGCACATACAACCTAAAAAACACAGGGAAAATGCCTGCTTAAAATAAAATCTCACCTCTGGACTTGTGTGTGGGCAGCACCTCTGTATGAAGTCAAAATGTACATGTCATTTTCCTTTTGGGGTATGCAGTGGTTTCATGGGCATAGACTTTCTGAGAACTTAGGGTAATACAAATCTGCTGCTGGAACACGACACCATCTCCCCAAAATTAATGAATTCCTGAAATAAAGCTATTCATGAAGGACAGCAAAGAAGATGACTTATTTAATTCACTGCAACATAATTGAGAATCCTGTGTGTGAGTGCTAGACTGCTCCTTAACCATAACTATTATTTTATCCTGCTATCTAAAATGGAGACATTAACATTCCCTGTTGTGTCTTTTCCCAAATGAAAAATTGATCATGTCTTTCCCCACAGCTGTACTAACAAGCACTTAAAATAACAATGACTACAACTCCAAGAGAAAAAACATGGTGTCATTACAGAGATAATGGGGGAATGCAGATAAAAATGCATTTTTCTTTATATGCAACATTAAGCCGTGATAATGATTTTAACCTGCACTCGATCACACATTTGCTGTAGTGACGTCTGTTTATAAGAGGTTGAAGGCTGCAGTCCAGCACAGTGGTCTGACATGAGAAATTAGTTGCAGCACTGCTATTAGCAATCCTACACTTGGGAAATTAAGCAGAAGAAGAGGAAGCAAGAAGACATGCAGATACAATGATATATACATTATGACTACACTAATTACAAGGGCTGTGCTGTTTAAGAGCAATGATTTTATAGGAAAAACGCATTGCTGAAAATTTTTAACTCAACTGTTCTTGTGTGATGGCAAATTAAGAGCTGGACTAGACCTTCAGCTAGTGCAAACCAGCCCTGTTTTGCTACTGCCCACATTGGTTATCACTCACTGAGGGCCTGACTCTCATTTTGGGTGATGTCTTTGGCCTCACAAATGACTTTCTTGCATGAGGTGGGTGGGGCAGGACTGAGCTGCCAGGTTAGGAAGATAAACATTTGTCCTCGTTGTTGAGCTACGATTTTAGAACAGAAAAACCACTAAACGGTGGGGCGTAACTCTCCAATAGAGCACACTGATCCCTAATCAAGGAATGCCCATACTAAAGACGCTGGGGAGAGCAGCCCTGTTGCTCAAAGAGGAAGGAGATTTGATCCTGTATTCTGTTTTTTGCCAGCAGAATCCCCAAGACAGTGAAACTGAAGTTTTACCAGCATAGCTCGCCTCAGATGTGCAGGATGTTTTCCTTACATTGATCCAAAGCACAGCTTGGCTGCTCTAGCTATGTTCATGGGAGGGATGCTGAGCCAGGATTCCTGTCACAATAAAATATTCCTAGCATGCAGGCGTCCTCCCTGCTATCGACTCTGCTGATTGCACTGCAAAGCTCATAAAAAAATGATGATGTATCTGAAATCCCAAGACCTGGAATCATGTTATGTCAAAAGAATCTTAGCTCTCATGAAAACTAACTTTGCCTTCCTCTAAAAAAATGTAAAAATTTCAATATTTAGAGCCCTGAATTAGGGAAGGTAAAACAAAAAGAGTCCCAAACATGCCCTGCAAATTTTCAGCCAGCCTTGTGATTTTTTTTTTGCGCCTGCTTCCTAATTTTGGGTGTCTGGATAGCTAATAGTGTTTACTGCGATCACAGAGTGTCAGACTCAGCAAGGTTTGGCTAATTGGGACCAAGAAGCCAAAGTATTTCAAATATGCACAGGGAATGAGTAAAGACCTCCTTGTGCTGAAAAGCTGAGCACAATTGTTTTACACCATCATGGTTAATGCTTGGCACTGCTTTAAAACTACCAAGGGCCTGTAAACAGAGTGCTAACAGGAAAGCCACTGAAGGATGGGCAGCAGAATATCAATTACTGGTATACAATACCGTAATAGACCTTACTTTTCTTTGCCCATTTGCTACACCCCAACAATCCCACTGCAACACAGGTTTCCACCTGGTGAGCTACACCTATTTCCCATTCTCCCACAGCCCGAGCTTGCACACCTCAGGGAAGAGCGTTGAACACTTGACATAGCAATTTCTGAGGCTGAAGTTGTTGGCAAGACCACGAGTGTGCACGAGCAAACAGGTCAGCGAGATAAATGTGCACATTCCAGCGCGGCACACAAGGCTCTCCCAGAAGTTTGCCTGGGATCTGCTGCCTAAGGCCAGCCAGATGTGAGGGGCTCCTCGCTTCGATTCACAAAGGATTTAGGAGCCATATTTGGGGGTGAATTTGCTCTGCAGTATATAATGATTCATGATATATGCAAGGTTTGGGTACTGCTTCTTTCTTGTGTATTTTGGAATGCAACACTGCACTCCCTCTATTTACTTTAACAGATGGTCTGGTCCCCGTGCATGCTACTTTTATTTACCATAACGTCTCAAATAATTCTCAAAATATAATACCTTTTAAAGTTTTCCTGCCTAGAGTTCTCTGTAAGTCTGTAAACACTAAGTTCATTAAACAAATTATTGTAGACAAATACAGTTTTTAAAAAAATATAGTAACAAACTTTTGAGTGAAAGAAATGAGGCAAAGAAGGAAGAATATCAAATAAAGGTACATGCAGAAACTTAGTGAACTGATGTTTCATGCAGTCTTAACAATGTGGAAGACAAACACAAAATATCACATAGGAACTCTATCCCCAGATACCACTTTAGAAGATTTACAAAAGACTTTCTAAAAAGTATTTTTATTTAAGTGCTCGTTGCAACATAAACTTGTTCATTGCAACATAAACTTGTCTTCAACATTGACAGCAGGAAGACAAGGATAAAACTGGTTTTAATAGAAAGTTCCCTGAAGGGCTAATCTTTCAAACAGAATCGCAGAATACTTATTAATTTGGAAAAAAAAAAAAACCCTACAAAACTGTCAGTGTTGAAAGTTATTTTTATAATGGAAAGAGTAAAACCATCAAACTGGTTCAATCCAGCAAAGTCTTACACCCAGGCACAATGCAACTCCTGAATTATTCCCCTGATGTCACTGTGCCTGGGCAGATGCAGGCAGTGATGTGTGTGGGGAGTAAGTACCTTGTTGCCAATTCCCAGACACTAAACACACACACACCTCTCACTGACACTCCTCAAGCAGGGAGAGCTAAAACCCTGTGTTTGGAGGACAAGAAATCCTAACTTCGTTAAGGGTTTTGTTACTGAAGCAGGACCAAACTCGTTTCAAGATGGGAGGAGAACTACTTTTAATCTTTTCAAGCAAGACTGAGGCCTCCCACCTGAAAAGATGCATTAACACTCTAGAAGAAGCACTGGTAATGCAAACACCGGCATGCTGAACCTCTTGACATCCTTTTTCTCACCAAAGAGAAGTATAAAGAGGAGAAAGTGCATAAATGTATATGTAAGTACCGTCTACACAAAGAAAAAGCTGTCTCTGGCTGTGCTCTGATCAATAGTCTGTTTAACATCCTGAAAATGAAGCAGGAAAGGTGTACATTCACACACGGGGACAAAGCATCCTGAAAATGGAACAGCACAGATTTGCACATAGGGGTACTGATCTGCTGAGGACTCACAAAAGTTATTGCGGTACCATAAAAATAACTTTTAAACTTCAAGAAGGTTTTATCCAATACTCAGTAGGGCAATTGCTAATTATTCCAGTCTCTAGTCTTATGTTCTAGTATTTCCTTGTTGACCAAGTCTATGCCAGAGAGAGTGTGAATTAGCAATCTATTTAAAGGTATCCCAAAAGGGGCGTGAACAGCAAAATAAGAATGGGGGAAACACTGCCTTAAAATTATTTCTGTTCTTCTGTTATTTCTTCTTTTGATGCTGACTCCTTTGGAGCAGGATCTGTGTTTTTTCTTTGGGTTTTGATCAGTGCCCATTACAATACGTCAAATGAAGCCCTCAGACGTTAACCACACTGCAAGAAGGAGTTTTTGGCCATGAAAACAAAGCAGACATAACTCCTAGGTTGCTGTCTTTAATCACAGCTTCTCTGCTTGCGCTTTTTGTTTGTTTACTTCCCTGAACAGCCTTCCAGAGATCACCAGTCACCAAGATTTCAGTTCAACTATTTATATAAGGAAATTGCGCAGAATTTGGTGCCTATACTCACACACCAAAAAAGAAAAAAAAAAAAAAATTGTTTCCATTTCTTGTGTTTCACTTATAATTTCTGCCTCTGTAATAAGCAAGTTCTTAACCCCACGCTAAGCCACCTGGAGCAGATCTGTGCTCCTGCACGGAGCCCTCTGCAAAAAGTTTCTTTGAAGCCAGAGAGGCATCCGCGTTATTTCCATATCTCCGGCTCTGACTCAGCAAAGCCTTTCGACATGTGCTGCAGCCTCACCGGGCTTGAGGACTGAAGTAGGTACAGAAGTGCTGGGCTGAATACGATGAAGTGTGGGTCTCCTCTGAAGTGCCCTCCCACTGTACAGCCCAGCGCTGCAGCCTCAGTTGTCCAGTGCTTAAAGGAATCAGTCATTAATTACATTAATGGAATGACTTCAGAAATTTAATTTCTAAAGCATTTGTTTCTGTAGAGAAAAGCAAATTTATTTTAGAGAGTTTATTTTACAGAGGGCTTTTTCCCTGATGTCTCAGAATATGTCATGATCTTTTAACGAAAAGTAACTGCTGAGGAACTGTTCTGTACTTTGCCTGCTGCCTAAGAGATGATTAAAATCAAGAATAAAATCGTTGGTTAGCAAATGCTGGGTATGTTACAGAAATAATATAATTTCAAGCATAAACAGCAATGAGCTGCAATTTATTTCTACTTTGGCTTGGCTGCTGGCGCCTGAATGGCTTTAAATTATAAGGTCAAATATTGGGGGGGGCAAATCCAAGAGACAAAAAATTTTTTTTCAGTTTTCTTATCTGAATCACGACAAACTTAAATTAAAAAAAAAAATAAACCCCAGTATGTGTAAAAGAACTCTTAACCAAATTCTGCATATCTTGGAATACTCAGTATAAATCAAATCTCAAGCAGAGATTTGAGGCCAGATTTTGCAACACAAAAATTGTAATCAGAGTTTTGTAACGAGCTTTGTTGAACATGAACTCAAAATCTCAGAGCACTGTCTGAAAACCAAATGGAAAGATTAATACAAGATAATTCGTGAAGAGGAAAAAAAATAGTAAAGAGAAATAAAAGACCAGCAATAAAATCTACAAACCTTGCAGGGAGAGGAGGGTCAGCTTTTCCAGCCACTAACCAGGAAGACCTGTGGTAGGCATATCTATATCTTTTATTGTCCACAGGAACTATATCCATTAACACAATATACTTGGCCTCAGGATCCACTCCTGAGAAGGAAACCCTGATCGTTGGAAACATTCTCCTAAAAAAAAAAAAAGGCAAATCAGAAAATAAATATTTGGGCAGAGAACAGAAATAAGAAAGCATCTGAAAAGCTGCTAAAAGTAAGAAATTATATTTAAATCCCCTGCAAAAACTTAAAGCATGTATTGATTTTTCTTCTGCATGACGGCAGTTAAATCTTGTGTCTCTCTAATAAGGAGACAAAAAGCAGCTTGAAATCGAAATTATATTTGGGAAGCAAAAAAAATGGTAAAAACTGGATAAGGAAAGGAGGAATATACTATTTGCCTCTTAGTAAAAGTACACAACGATTTCTGAAAATAGTTGTAGCTAAGGTACATAGATACTTAGGAACTTGGATTTTCTTTAATTTATATTTTGCAGGATCCATACTACTGTAAGGGAAATATTCCAAAATTATTTCCGTTGTTATTCTCACATATTTTAAGTGAGTGTTTTCTTAAGCCTGCTCACAATATTTTTGAACTGAATTTTCCAAACTAAAACATTTTTTTTCTGTCCTGTTTTTACAAAACACAATTTCAAAATGTAAGGTTATCCTGTCAATAAAATAAAGTCAAATAATTTTTGACAGTTTAAAATATTGAACTTTAAATTGCATGTTTTGTATTGCATGTTTTATACCTTTTTTTTTTTTAAATTTATTTAAACCATATACCGATAGAGCTCACCAGTTAGGGGAAAAAAAAAAAATCTTCAGGTAACTACGTTAATAAAAAGTAACTTTGGGGATTAAGAAACCCAAAAAGACATTTGGCTCCTCCGGACTGCGTTTGACTGACCCAAACCCCACAGGCTTTACTGAAGAAAAGGCATAGTTTGAGGTAAAAAGAAAGCCTGAAATTCTTTTGCGCATTTTTGCAACGGAGAGAAAAGAACAAACCAAACCAAGCTCTGACAGAATCACTTCCCCACGACGCCGATTTTCCCTCGGTCTGTACCAACCCAGCGCCTCAAAATCACCGCAAGATTTCAGTCACAAACCTGATTATTCGGGAAAGAACTCCTCCCTGCCGCCAGGACGGCCCGGGTGGATTTCAGCCGGCTCCGCCGCAGCGCCCGCACCTCGCTGCCGGCCCCGGCCGCTTCTCCCTGCGCCCCGGCTGGGCCCGCCGAGGGGCTGCGGGAAATACGGGGCTTCACCCCCCTCCCCTTAACCCAGCCGTGCTGTTCTCCCGATACAAAAAAAAAAAAAAAAAAAAACCTGCGGGGTTTCGGTAATTTTGCCCTTTTTTGACTTGTCCATAGCCGCTTTTCGAAAGATGTCCAGAGGGAAACCCAGGGGCTGCCCAGCCTTACCTCCCGGATTTGGTGATGATCATCTCGGTACCCAGTTCATGAAACTTGTCCCAGAGCTCTTTGGTCTCCAGGCTGCAGGAGATTTTGGCCATCTCCTCGCTGGGGATGATGGGGGTGGTGGGGATGAGGGGCTCGGTACACAGGGAAGAAGGGCTGCTGCTAAAATCCCCGTGAGGGTCCAGGCTGGATAAATCACTCAAAGGCTGGGCGCAGGAGGATTTCTCAACGAATTGTTCTGCAGGGTTTGAGGAAAAACAGAGAGAGACACAGAAAAAGAAAAAGAGAGAGAGAGAGGATTCAGCCAGGACAATGCGACCACCGAGACAAGCTATTTAAATCCATCCATCCATATATATATATATATATATATATATAAAAGGCATTTATCGTTCAACTGGCCCCGCACACCCCGCCGATTCTTTAGGCGTCCGCTCATCATCTGAGGGCAGCGGTGTTGATTTTCGGAGATGAGCTCCGGGAGGAGCCCGCAGCGGCGCCGCTCCCCAGAGGCGCACCGGGAGAGCCGCCCGGCGTGCGGCGGGAGCAGCTCGGTCCGGCCTCGCCGCCGCTGTGACCGGCTGTGATCCGCTCCGCGGGGCACGGCGGGCCAGAGCCAGCCCTGCGCGCTGCCCCCGCCGCTAACCGAGGGGTTCCACGGAAAGGTCACTAATTCTCATTAAAACGGGAGCGTTGGGCGCCGAGGGGCTGCCGAGGGCCAGGGTCACGCTGGGGGAGCACCCGGATTTGCGCCTTTGACAGAGAGCGCAACGCAGAAGGAGCCCGAGCGCGGCCGCGCAGGCTCCGCGCTTCCTTCACGGGGAAGCGAACCCCAAATACTAATTAAACAGCGGGCACGGGCTCACCCTCCCGGAAAGCTGGGTCTGCCCTTCTCCCAGCCGGTTTGCTGACACTGAACTCGCTCCTTTGGAGAAACAGGCTCCGGGGGAGCTGCGTGCGGCCGCGCAACCTACGCGGGTGCAGTAGCTGCTGCCGCCCGCCACGCCTGGCTCCCGCCGGCTCTGCCGCCCACCCCCGCAAGCCCCGGGAGGCTTCGGGCGCTTCAGCAGCTCCGTTGGGAGTTTCCGCCGGAGGCGAGGTCGGGAGGGAGCAGGGCTGCGAGGGCTCTTCCTGGCCCCGCGATGCGGCACCGGGATGCGGCGACAGATCCGCCGCCCGGCGCCAAAGAACGGGAGGGGCACGAACGCGTCCTGCCCCTCCAGGGAAAAGTTTTGCCTAAAGCTCCAGTGAATAAAAACCGAGTCACAGGCAGTCGTTTCCCTTCGATTTTTAGTTGAACGACATGAGGGAAGGGGTTAAAAAATTTTGAAAAGTTAAATTAAATAAGCATTTTCAGGAAAACAAACAAACAAAACAAAACCAAAAATCCAAACCAATCCCCCTAACACTAAGTTTTAACACAACCCCATGTAAATACGCCGACCGGGAATACTACAACGTTCTCGGCCTACATTAGCGTCCAGACTTAAAACTGAATTTCCGAGTGAATCCCTAGACTATGTGAAATCTTTTGAGACAGTTGATTAGGTGCAGCAGACACTGAGGAGCTGCCTTTTCTAAATTCTTTTAAGACTGAGTGTAATCCTGTTCATTGGCGCCCTGAAAGCTTAACACATATTTTGTAGTTTTCTGCGAACTCCTAGATACACGCACTCCAGATACATACAAGGATGACAAACCGCAGAAACTTGGAGGGGGGGAGGAGGGGAAGATGTTCAAGTTTTTTAAAAGCTTTCAGGATTCTGGATCGAGGCAACCGAATACAGCGAAAACCCTAACCCGAAAATCGCAAATGCTTACAAAAAACTCCTCCCGGTTTGTGTAGAGCAAAACAACTTTTATGATCCTACATCGAGGAGCTGTGCAGTGAAGGGATTTTCAGTTCTACGCACAAGTTTTACTACCGCTTGTAAGCCTAGGCACGACAGCGGAGAATCTCTAATTTGACTTTAGAACCAGGGTAGATTTGCAGTATCTACTTAAGGGATTCATTTCATGTCAGCGAAGAGAAATTGAACTACCGTAAGAGTGTGGGATTATTCTGCAAATGGCGAAGCTGGATGAATGAGACGCATAACTGAAACTAGAGGAATTTAGGAAAGTCTTCATGCTATAAACAGCCTCGCCTAAAAACGACCGTGGGTAATAAGGCACTCAGCCTTCAAGCTTAGGTGGTGCAGCTTTCCCCTCTGCAGGGGAAACCTTCGGGCAGGGGAGACGCGCCGCTGCCCGGCCCGGCTGCCGGAGCGCTGAGAAGGGTGAGCCCGGGCGGACAGGACAGACGGACAGACCCCACGGACACCGGCGGTCACCCCCGTCCCCACTCACCCAGAGGCTTGATGGTGCTCTCGGGGGACTCCTTGTCCTTGGAGCTGCCGCTCGACATGAGGGCGGCGATGGAGAAGGCGTTGGCCCGGGAGGAGAGCTGCGGCTTGGGGGGCGGCGTGTACTCCATGGCCACTGTGCGGGGACGCGGCTCGGTGCGGCGCTGCCCGGACGGGGCGGGGGGAAGCACCGGCCGGGGGTGGCGGAGCCGGGATACCGGGAGAGCTCTGCTCCCGGCGCCGCGCGCTCCCCCGCCTTAACGCGGGGCCGCGGAGATCCTATCGGCCGGCGGCCAATCGGCGCCGGGACACGTCAAGGGCCCCGGCCCGGCCCGGCCCGGCCGCGGGGGAGGGGGCGGAGGCGGGCAGCAGCAGGAGCAGCGGCAGCAGCAGGAGGAGGAGGAGGGACGGAGGGAGGGGAGGGGAGGGAAAGGAGGGGAGGGCTCTGCCCGCCCGCAGGGTGGGGAGGGGGCGGCCGGCCCTCGGGACAGCTCCCCGCAGCTGCTCCCCTTTCGGGCACCCCAGCCCCGCTCCCCGCCGGGGCCCCGGCTGCGGTTCGGGGAGCGCCATCCGCTCCTCCGAGCCCCGGGGGCGGGAAGGAGGGGGCAGGCCGGGCGGCCGGGGATGCTCCCGAGAAGGTCCCTAGGCTATTCGCTTTGCCGAGGCAAGAAACGGCGGAGAGGCGCTTGAAAGGATGAAATGTGAATTTTTCTGGTGCGTGCGTGTGAGTGTCAATTTTCTCTTTTACATTCAAATATTAAAAGACGGCAGCTTTCAAAGCAGCCGTTTTCGTCGTTGTGTGCTTTCTGCTGGGACAGAATGTTCCTTAAGGCTGATCGTATTCTTGGTTTTGCTGCACCGGATCCCAAATATTGTCATCCCGGTGAGATGTACTCGCCCCCACCGACTCCAGGTGAGACCCTTGCAGCATTCCCTTCTCAGCCAAACCAGTGCGTGGGCCGCTGATCGCACAGTTTTCTTCAAAGCCGTTTCATCGGCTGTGCCGAAATAGATGGTATTGATCAGGCACATAAGACAGAGAAAGTCGGGACGGGCTGATGATACCAACGAGTAGCTTATTCCAAGGCGGTGATTTAAGTAAGTTTTTCACCAGTGCTCTTTCACACATACAATGTAAACACACTCTCATGAATAAATGAAATAAAGAAAAGCGGTGCGTTTAATTAAATTCATTTAAATAAAAATATCACTGAAGATATTTACTCGCTGGAACGACTCACAAGAGAACGTGCAACTTTATCAATGAAGTTCCACCTTTCAAACCTAGAACACAATCCAAGGACTCTTGTTATGCAGGGTCGTGCCAAGAGCCATGCATACCCGGTGTCAATCCTGTTCCTACTACACTTGATTATTATGGAGAAAGAATTATTTGGGTCCCCCTGCCCGGCCAGTAGAGTGGGGAAGACAAACTAGTGCTTTATCGCTTTGAGATCAGCGAGAACCACCTGCAGTTTGCCCTTTTGTTACCTGAATTTGCTAATAGATAGAATATCTATCGCAAACGGGACGGGCATATTGAGAAGCGCCTAAAGCATCTGGCAGAGGATTTCGGCGTGGCCCACAGCGGTCTGGGGGCCCGGTCTCGCCTCAGGCATTAGCGGGAGGAGAGGGCGAAAGGGGAGAGCCCAGCCAGCCCCGCGGCCGGCGAGCCCGGAGGGTCAGCTCACGAAGCATCGCCTCTTGCTTGACGCAGGGAAACAGAGACAAGAGGTTCTGCCGACACCAATCTTTAAAAAAACAAACAAAAAGTCCCCTCAACACTTTACTACTTTATCCTGAGCGACACCCCGGCAAATACGGGTCCGGTTTCCCTGCGGGACAGCCCCGCTCCTGGGACCCCTCCGGGCGTGCGAGGGGCGGCGGGACGGGGATCTCGAGCTCCCGGCCCTGCGCTCCTTTGACCCTACTTGAAAAGCAGGGTCCGGCCTGCCTGAATGAAAGACAAAGGAGGGTACAAACAGCCGGGGAAGTTATCCTCTTCACATTTCCTCTGTGGTAACAGGGATGCCTAAGTCTCCTTTGGTTTCCTACCTACTCTACGCGACGCGCAAGTAAGGATAATAAAACCTGTCGAAGTAGCAGCGCAGATCCTACCAAAAAAAAACCCCAAAAACCAAAAAACAAAACCAAACAAAAAAATCACACCAAAACAAAACCGAAAAAAACCCCAAACAACCAAAACCCCCAAAACAACCTCTCTTTTCCCTTTGCTTATTTCCGTCCCCCAGCAGTGAGGTCGTAACATACCTGTCCCTAGCAGGGGCTGCCCCCCGTCCATCGGGCTGAGGGGAGAGGGGCGGTGGGTGACTGGATGTTTCTGAGCGTCCGTCTGAGAAACACCGGCTCAGCCCCGGCAGCTGAGGCAGCTCCGGACCGATTTCTGCTCTCCCTCGCCGCGGGATTTCCAGTCCCGTGGAGCGAGCGGTCCTTGCCTTGGCCCGAGGGAGGAGGACTGGGCCGCGGCGGGGGGAAGCGCTGCGCGGTGAGCGGGGCACGGCGCACCCGGGCGCGGAGGGCAGCGGAGCGGCGGGCGAGGGGCAACCGAGGCCGCGGAGCTGGGACGGGGCTGCCGGTCACCTCTGGGCAGGAGGTATCCCCCGGGGGAAAGGAACTGGCTTTTGGGGCTTGCAGATCTCTGCTCGTACGGAGCGATACAAAAAAAAAATAGCAGCGCAGATCCTACCAAAAAATCAAAAACAAAAACAAAAAAAAAAAACAAAACAAAACAAAAAAAAAAAAAAAAAAAAAAAAACAAAAAACAAACGGGATGGAAAGAAACCAGGAGCTTCGTTTTATTTTGTTTTAAATGGGTCCGTCCACACGGGATGGCTTTTTCTTATGCTTGGTTAAGCCATGCAATTTTTCGCTCTATCCGACGAGAATCTGTAATTTTTTAAAGGTTTTTTTCCCTCGCTCCGCCTCCGATAAGGAAATAAGCCTTGTCTAGACGCCTAGAGCACCCCCTCCTTCCCCGTGGGCAGGGAATGGGTCTCAGCTCCGGCCGCCTAATCCTCGCTACGGCTCCCTCCCCCGCCGGGGCCGAGCTGGGGAGACACAGGGATCAGGCAACCCAAGTGAGAAGAGGGTGAGAGCCCGGCTTCCCTGGGCTACTTTGCCGTCCCTGCCCACGGCCCTCTCCGGCGACGGGCCGGCTTCCAGAGACCAGGGGGTGGCCGGGGAACACACTACTACCCCAAAGCTCTTGATGCGTCTCTGCTTTCCCAGCCAAGTGGATGTATTTAGAAACGTCCGCACACTCTTCCCAGGGGATGCGAACCGGAGCTGCCAGTCCCCGCCGCGCCCAGGCACAGAGCGGCTGTCACCACTGTACCGACCCCCTCCCGAGAGCAGAGTTACCAACCCTGCTGCTCCCCAACAGGGCGGTTGCCTCGTTTGAACCCGTTTCAATTAAATCCTTCGTTATTGTTTACCCGTATATGAAGAACACGCAATCTACACTGCAGTTTGTTTTTAATCTAGCAAATCCATGTGTTTGTCGCTGGTGTCAGCCTGCTGTGGCAGAGACATTTCATGAGGCTTCATTATTCTTTCAAAATACTTTTTTCCCCATTTTCCTTTGCCTAAAAAGCTCCTTACTCTCATGTGCACCAGCAAAAAACAGCGTGCGGTAATCGCTGCGCACCTCAACTCGCTGGTTCGGTTCCCAGCTTTAAACCAGGATCAGGTCTCAGTTTCGCCGTCAGGTTTCAAACAGGGAGATTGCAGCCCGCTTCCAAAACCCCTCTCTGATCCCTGAATCCCCTCTGATCCCCCAAGGAGAAAGCTCGATCCCGTGAAAACCATGAGCCCTGCTTCTTCCCGGCCCTTTCCTCACCTACACAAAATCACGACGGGAACGACAAACGAGGGACAGAAAACCCACAGAAACCCGCCGAGCAACCTTTGGTCCAGAGGGATGGTTTCAGGTGCTCCTTCGCCTGTGTGACAAGAGCTCCGACTCTGCGCGTCTCAGCGCGGCCGCGCAGGCCCGCGGGCGGGTGGGGTGTGCGGAGAGGGGTGCACACCGGGCGGACAGCCACGCTCAGGTTTTAAGCAACTCTTTCGCGTAGTGATGAGGGGCCGTTGCCCTTTTAGTTTTTGTGGTTTTTTTTTTTTTTTTTTTTGTTCCCGCAAAGGCCCCCACGCCGCACACTTCACGCCGCAGAGACAAACCTGTGCTGCGGCACCCGCGGGGCTGCGCCCCGAAAACGGGCCCGGCACCGAGCCGAGCTGGCACCCGCTCTTCTCATGGCTGTCCCTTGGGATAACCTGGCATTTGCCTCCATTCTTCCTCCTCCGTTACTTCCCCGTCTCCCCTCCGGATCCGTAGCCTGTGCGGAGGGCAAGGACCAGGTTTCCCTTTAATTAGGAGCCTATGGGTGCGGGGTGCCGCTGCCGAGACCCTCCCTGCCGCCTCCCACGCTGACCGCTGCTGGCCCGGTGCTGCCCGGGGCGTGTGTCTGACCCTCCAGCCCGCAGCCCCTCTCCAAGGTAACCTACAGCGCTGCTTTGGGATTGAGCTTACTCCTGCCTCGGGAGGGAAGAGTTAAAATCTTTTGCTCTTTCTTATTTTTCACCCTTGTAGATAAAAACAGTTTCTCCAGCATAAAGAATGGTGTTTATGCGCTCGGGCAGGGTCTTCGGCTCGCCCGTTCGTGCCTTGCGAGAGAGCGCCGCTACTTTACAGAGACATGCCTACAGCGCTACACGGCTCTGGCTCTGGCTCCGCTCCCCTGCAACGAGATTATCAACCCTGCTTTCAAGACCTTTTTTGTCCTCCGCTGCACGTAATTCTATTGCTCTGTCCGCCGGATTCCCCCTCTCTTTGCGCTCCTCGGTTTCGGAGCAGCCCCGACTCCCAGAGCTCTTGCTGCGGCGGGGACATCCCTCCCCTACACTCTCCACGGAAAGAGCCGCGCCAGCAAGACAGAAGTCCAGGTACCTGAGATCCAATTTCACAACAAAAACATCTCAATGTCACCTACAGCGAGAAGGTGGCTTATTGGAGCAAAATGCGAGGCATTTTAAACCTATTAGGCATCTCCCAGATGCAAATCCAATGGTAGAAAGAGAAAGGCTCTATTAAGAGCCGAGGGCTGACAATTAGATTATAGTCCAATTGCCAGTGGATAATGTGCTAAAAGCTTTCCCACTTAGTGTAACTCCTCGCTGAAAATTA